GCAATAGGCATACACATCACAGGAAGGGGATGAGCTAGGGGTGTACAAACAATAGGAAGGGGAGGGATTAGGGGTACACATGTGACAAGGTGGGTGGACCCGAGACTCAAGATGGCAGCCTAACCTTGGTCATCCTTGAGTGGGTTTGACCTTGCCTGTAGGACAGCGGTTCTCAACTTGTGGTCATGACCCCTTTGGGGGTCAAAGGACCCTTTCACAGGGGTTGCCCGATTCATAACAGTAGCAAAATTACAGTGATGAAGTAGCAACGAAAATAATGTTATGGTTGGGGGTCACCACAACATGAGGAACTGTGTTAAAGGGTCTCGGCATGAGGACGGTTGAAAACCACTGCCCTAAGGGTTTTCAGCCATCTAGAGCAATCACACGGTATAGTCTGCCCCACCCTAAGTAGGGCCCACTCCCTTCTGATAAGGGGAGTGGATTGTCTCCCTGAAGGAGAGCCCAGAGCTCTAAGCAACTTGCGTTGACCTCCACGTGTACATTTACCTTGTGCAGCAAGCAGCGTCCTAGGTTTGGCATATATTTGGGGGAGACAACTTGGGGAAAACCCTTTTGGCATCCCACACTGGGTAGCGCAAATGGGCCGACCACCCAGCTTCTAACGGAAAGGTTGGTGGTTCACGCCTACCCAGAGGTACCTCGGAGGAAAAGTCTGGCTGTCTCCTCCTGAGAAGCCGCCAGCACCGACCCCGTGAGTGCAGCTCTGCTCTGACACACAGGGCTTCTGAGAGCAGAAACGGAGTTGACAGCAGCTAGGCTTGTAAGTTATTGTAATACGTCATAGATTCACACAGATAATGATATAATTTCACATGCATTTCTTCCTATGCTCTTTTAAATGATCATAACAGAGCATTGAAACCTTCTATGCCTGCTTTCACATTTTAAATAACGTCCCCTCTTATTCCTAACCAAGAGGGGCCCTGGTGATGTAGTGGCTCTGTATTAGGCTGCTAACCTTGACATTAGCAGTTCAAAACCACCGGCTGCTCTGCCGGAGAAAGATGAGGCTGTCTCTTCCTGTGATGAGCTGCAGTCTCGGAAGTGCACCAGACCAGCTCTACCCTGCCCTACAGACTTGCTGGAGGTCAGAATGGACACAGTGGGAGTGCGTTTGGTTTTTGGTTTATTCCTAACCAGAACTTACAGTCAGGGGGCACACACGAAGAAGCAGGACGAACAGGCTTTGGTTTTTGTTTTTAATATTATTATTATTATTATTGGCTCATACAACTCTTATCACAATCCATACATACATCAATTGTGTAAAGCACATTTGTACATTCATTG